ATTAAGTTAGGCTAAAATTATCTTTACTGATTCTAAGGCATTTCTATTAATGTAGCAGACTGCACTGCTTCCTGATCTTCTGATTTGATCCAGCTTATTATTTTTTGCAGACAGTTATTATTACGGAAATTTTATAAAAACTAAGCTTGAACTTTCGATTATGTCGAAAAGACTTTACAATTCTGGAGTTGCCAAAGGATCTACAAAGCGAAACCATGTTTCGATGTCCATTAAACAAAAAGTGGAATTGCTGCAAAAAATGGATAAAGGCATCTCTGTCTCATTATGCGAGGAGTATGGCACTGGAAAGTCCACTGTATATGACACAAGAAAAAAGAAAAAGGAACTTTTTGAATTTTTTGTGGAAGCATCTTAAACATGTTTCAACTTACATTGAAAGAAATGTTTAATTAAAGTAAGCAAATAAATATTAAGCTTTCTTTTGTAAATTTTGATACCCTTTAAATCACAATTGTTCTTTATTTCATAAATTACCATATTTTTAATTGTACAATTTCAGCATGCCATCTTACCAGCTTTAAATTGATGATCTATTATCCGGAAAAATCCCAAACTGCTGAAGTCCCGACCAGTCTGGAGTTCGGACTTTGTACTGTATTTTAAATGTTTTAATTGCCCCATTTGCAGCTTCTGCTAAAAAACCTTATGTGTTACCAATCCTGACTCATTAGCTCCTTCAGTAGTACGCTTTCTTTGGTTCTGGGAGAAAAAAAAAATATGCAACTTTCTAATGGTCAAGCTAAGTTCTTCCATTAGTTCGATACCATCTCTAAATCTCCAAACAACAATTACAATATCACTTTCACATAACCAGCTCCTTAAACCTCCTGCTTCTTTCTAATGTGATCTGTTATTCTGAGAGCAAAATAAGGCCATAAAAAATCTAAAATATGTTATACTGGACTTACAATTAACATCAGCTTTACAAGCAATCTACCCTTGTATTATAAATAGGTTTTTCTTCGAAAATAGTAGTCATAATTCCTCTCTGTAGATGTAGGTTCAATCTAATACCAAAATAGTTTTGTCTTCCCTTTGAGCAAACACATTTTTAGCAAAACCTCTTGTATGGTTTCAAACAAAATCATCTCAACTTATTACATGATTTAAGCCAAGATGTACAGGTATGAACACGTATGTAAAAGCTTTCCTAACAGATTGAACACACCTTTCTATTTTATCTTTGGATAAGGCAAAAAGAGTTGACAAAATGCCATAAGAAAGTCCAATTTTTGTTTTGTTAAAAATATTGCTAATGAAGTATGAATACTTTTGTTTGCTAAACTTCTTAGTCAGCCTTCTTTCATGTTCAGCAAGTTATCAAAATGTTCAAAACAAGTTCCAGTAAGTCAGCAATAATCATTATTTTTCAATATGCTGGGTATATCCAAGGTTAATCCTTTTCTAAACTGTGTTTAGCTCCTGAAGTAGTTCTGATATATCAGTGTCATTGAAAATACTTTGTTCTGATAACTTTGATAGATTTAAGTGTCTTTCAAAAAGTGTCCATTTAGATGAACTGACAAGACTGATCTCCTTTAATCGTTTTGGTCCTAATGGCCACATACGTCCCAGAGATTAGATTTCATTCCCTACTGGATAAATAAAACCCACTTTTAAATAGGTTTTTATGTTTGCAGTATTTTTAAGGAATTAGGAAATAGGAAATAAATATATGACTAAAGAAACCTGGCCTATTTTGCTAAATGCGTCAGGTTGCACTTTGTAAAGACTGCTTTAAACCATATCATACTTGTACTGAAAGAATAAAATATTTGATACATTTCATTTTATTATTTATTCACATGCAGTATTAAGGTTATTATCACAATATCCTAGATGATTGGGACATATTATCCCAGGAGATTCCGAGGAAATGGGAAAAGTTAAAAACTTTAAACTAATATTACACTTCTTTTAGTATGTCAACATTAAACTACTTTTCAGCTAAATTTTAATCACGCAAAAGTTGGGTCGAAAGGGTTAAGTAGAATAAAACTACAGTTTATAAAAAAACCTACAATAAGCCTCTTGTATGATAAGCTTGTTTTGACTATTGCACACACAATACATTGCCTACGAGTCTCAGCAGTGCGACAAATAGGAATCACGTCTTTTGCCCAAGATGTAATAGTTCCTTTTCTTATTTCTGCAGAAGCAGATGCTCATGGGAAATATCGCTGACATGACTATTTGATCTTGGTTTTTCTGAAACATTCTCGTGAATTCTCAATTCAACAGAATGCAAAGTATTGCCCTTTCAATGTTTATAGCCTTCCAAATAAAATTTAACACAAACTCTGCTGTTTCACCCCGAAATGGAACTTTTTCAAGTTTTAAGCATTCTAATATCTTTGTATTTTGAAATATTTAAAATCATCTAAAGTTTCTTGAATTTCAGAGGAATCGCAACTGTAATATATAGGCGTTTTACAGCACAAGACTTCAGTTTAAACCAAATAAAACAAAACACATTTGTTATGGTAAACAAATAACTGTAAGCAACCAAGAAATATAGAGAAAATGAAATAAAATATCAAACTACCTTCAATTATTACAAGTTTCATTATATATGATCCCAACTCAATTTCATACAAGTTCATTTTTTCACTATAAGCATGAGCGAGTACAATTTTGATTCTTATATATGTCAAAGGTTTTATATTATCACACTACATATTTAAAAATCTTCGCAGTTCTCTGTAAGAAATCCCTTGTTCCCTTTAGCTCGTATAAAGTAATCAACTAAAACCACAAAAAAAAAAAGGTGATTTTTAGATCTCCAATCTTTATCAAATGTAACAATGCCAACTATGTAAAATGTCACATCTTCAAATGTTAAGCTTGAAAAAATAGTACTTTTTTAAAAAATTTCCCTTGTACATTAAAAAAAGTTACTATTGGAGCCCAAAAAAAAAAAAAAAAAAAAAAAAAAAAAAAAAAAAAAGGGATCACAATTCCTCCTTTATATAAATGGCCCTCACCTCTTTGCTAAATAATTGCTTTTTCAAAGAAACAACGCACATGAGATTCAGCAAAAGTTTTTGATTTTATAACTTATGAAACATCTAAATACAATGAAACTAAAAATTTCTATATTTTGAAGATTTTTTTTAAATACCTTTCTTGAAATAAGGAAATAGTATTTAATGGATAAATAGCACTAGGAAATGGTATAATACAAATCAATAATTTCAACTTTTATTTGTCAATGAATAATTTAAAAAATTTTTCAAAACTCAAATATGTTCCTCAGGGTAACAAAATAACAGCTCACAGGGATAATAATAGTTCCTTGAATTGCAAAAGGAGATTTTAAAAAAGAGATAAGTAATTCTAAGCTTTAAACATAGAGCAAACTTATAAACTATAAATCAGTAATATAGTAACATGGGTAGACTACAAATTCATAAACTGTAAATCAGTAGTATGAGTAGACTATAAGATTTATAAACTATAAATTTTGAAGGGCAGTTTACTATCTCAAATATATATAAATACAATATAATTTGCACATGTATAAAACAGAATTACTTAAACTTTTCTAACAGTCAATTTCTTTAAAAATTTCTCTCGACATTTTTATTGACACTTTTAACTTTAGTGTTACATCATTATGAAAGGACAACAGACAGCAACAATGGGGGAAGGAGAAGAAGAAGAAGAAGTAAAGGCTAATGAGACTAATTTTAATTTATTTAATATAAACTAAAACAGATTTATACACTATAAATCAGTACTATTATTAATCAATAGTAGTAAACTATAAACCAGGGCTTCCCAAAGTGTAGATCGCAAAAAGTTATTTTCAGAATTCTTCAGCTCTTTTCACTTGACTTCCTGCTTGTTTCATGAGAAAAAAAGTTCTTTTTAGAACTATTACCACATACTCTGTCTGTTTTATAGGGGGGGGGGGGGGAAGATGAATAATTTTGTTTTCTCATTTTACTGGTTTCATTTGCTAAAACATTTTACTTGCTTTGTTGCTGAAAAATTCTCATAAACACTTTTATTCACGAAAATATTATATCATACTAGTTTATAATTTTGCAAATTTTCTGCACTGTATAGTTAATTTACAGAAAATAGTTAAGTTCTACTTTTTGTTTTAAATAGACTATGGCTCTGAAATCAAATAAATTTACATTTGCTTGCAAACTCAAAGGACTTATGGCCCCAAAATCATTACTGCCTGGGCCTATGGCACCAAAATCATGCTATAACTCCTTAAAATTATGTTTTTATGTTGATTAAGGAGAGGGTATAGTTAATAACCTGTAGCAGCTATTATATATACATAAATACATGATGTATGCATGATAAGTTATCATTTTTCAAATATGTAATACTTTTCTATTAAGAAAAATTTCCTCACTTAGTTCAGTTGCTTTATATTTATATTTTCTTTCCATACTCATGGTTTCCTGAGAATTTTCATTATATTCTAGGTATGTAGGACATCACAGTTTTAGAATTTGGTGAAAAATGATTAAGAACAATTTATACATTTTTTTTCAATAACAAAGTTTGATGACAATCAGTGGCATAGCTAGGATTCCAGCGCCCAGAGACAGCTGAAGAATTTGCGCCCCTTTCTATGTGCCTAGAATGGAAAACATTTCATTAAAAAATTTTGTAGCATGTATTTGGCACTGCCTGGATGCTGCGCCCAGGGACAGGTGTACCACTCTTGCCCCACCCTAGCTATGCCGCTGATGACAATAGCCCCAAGCAGGAGAGAAACCAATATTTCCCACTGTTCCATCTTCAATTTCTTAACAAAGTGAATATTACATAAAATAATAAATAAAAAGTGTTTAAACTTCCTTCAGTACACAGACAATTTTGTGTAGGCTTGTCAGAAATTATTACTTAGCACCTTAACTTAGATTGGTTGAAAAAAATTAGTCCAAAAATTCTGTAAATATTATAATAAAAACTTCCTAATTTTAAATATGAAAATAAGAAATGTTACTTACTGGTTTAACTTTATCTCCAGGTAATTTGCCTGAAACAGGACCCATAGAATAAAACATTTCTTCATATTTTTTCCTTTCAACAGGCTAAAAATTAAGAACAATGTCACTTGCTTTTGTTCACACAGAAGAAATTTCACAAATATAAAATTTAATGACTTTTCTCTTACCTTTATAGTCCAGTCCACAGCAGGAGAGTTTCTGCCACTTAAAGTTTGCTACGATAAAATTACAGTTTATATAAATATATATAGTAAAATAAATATCCAAATGAATATGAAGATACAGATGAACTGTTTTCATTATAAAATCATTTTAAAAGGAGAAAGTTTGTGATTTGATCAGTTTAAATATTTCTTGAATTTTTTGAAAACTGAATAACTGCTAGAAAATGCAATTGTGATTAAGTATATACCCTTCTCAGTCATTAGCAAAAAATTTAAAATCAAGATAGAACACATAAATATAGCACAGATTCTCATTTTGACCTAAATGTGCATTATATATTGAGCAATTTTTATGTACTAACAATGATTGAAAAAATATGTAATACAAATATTTTTCTTTTTTTCCTTCTTTAAACTGAAGGTTTAATAACTTCTTTAATTTTAATACTTGAATTGCTTTCACATTTTTAATGACATTAATTTCAATGAAATGCTATAATTTATATTACTTAAATAACTACAAAGTTATGATTGGTTAATTTATTTTTTAAAATTTATTTTGTATGTTTTGTTAATTACTGCATTTTTCCTGTGATAATTTTGAAAAAGGACTTTGAAATACTGATGCAGAGATGCATCTAACATGAATACCATTCAAAAAATTAGTTACATTTTGACTAAATTCTTATTAAAGTTAATCGCTGTTATTCACAATTTAATTATTTCTGCAACAGCAGATATTTTCAGGTGAAGGCTTTCAAGTACCACAATCTGCTAATACAATAATGAATATTAAATAACTGATTATTCTTTTTTAATGTACAGTATAAAGAGAGATGTGCAAATATTATATCTAATGATAGCTCAAATGAAATTTATTAAAATAGATTTTAACATATTAATAACAACCCTAAATTATAATGTATACACAATATGACAAAATAAAGCAACTGATATCTAACAGAGAGGCAGACAAACCTATACTAGTTTAATGTTAGACTTTTACCTAAATTAAAATAATCTCACATAAAATTACCAAAATCAGCCTCAGGAAAATAAAAAAAAAATCTGATGTGTACACTACATGACTTCCTTGCATGGAATATTAAATTATACGCATTTTTTCTTGCATTTCATTTAAACTTATTGAATTAAATTAAATCTACTTCGTCGATAGCGCATAAATCACAAAAGAATAAATGCACTCTTTAAAATTCACTACATGCTTTTACCATAGTGACACTCTGGCGCTCGGTTCACTTAATAGCATTATATTTCATTCATATTATAACTCAGAATGCACAAAAAAATTTATATCATTTGAAGAATTATCTAATCATTGCCACATGTTCCATTCAAATACTATAATAAATTTAGAACGATGTATAAAAGAAATTAAGCAAAAAAAAAAAAAAGTTTTTCACAGACGGTTTACTATTTCTCATTCAATTAATTCAGTCTAACTTCGCGACAAGGCAAAAATTCATAAAACTCAAAATATCTATATTAAAAATTACGAAGCAAATCTTAAACACTTATTTCCTCGAAAAAAATTCAGAGAGGATTAAGCATGATTTTATTCACAAAAATAAATGAGGGCGTTATCTTTGTTGTTGCGAAGCTTAGTCTATCTAGATTGGCAGCAAATCTACTATTCTGCTGTTTCAAATGTAAAAAAATATGTCCACCATGTTATTTAAAAATGAGGCTTAACCGCACTTAAACAGCTTTTAAATTATTGATAATTGTACAAATATTGCTTGCAGATTTACTAAAGGCATAAAAACCTAAACCGGAAGATAAGAACAACACAATTCAATCATTTTTAAAGCAAAAAATGCACAATTTACAAACATATAAGAGTAAAGAAACTGAGATCACTGAGCAGGGTAATAGAGTGGATATATATATAAATATATTTATATACGTTTGGTGCGATCAATTGCTACCAAAATATGAGGTGCACATCTACATGTTATAGCAGTCCTACATACAAAATTTCAACGTTCTGAGGCTAACTCGTTTTTGAGTCATGCGAGATACGTACGTACAGACACCACAAAAAATTATCTTCAGAATTAATTTTAAAGCAGTTTTATTTTTTTGGGGGGGGGAGGAAAAGAGTTTTTATTCTGTCCTTATGTACAGATGTCACACAAAAACATCGTTAAATTTCATTTCATAGTAGTCAAAATGGATATTTTTGTTGAAATATGCTGCCTGAAACTTTTCGTAATTACAATACTTCCTTTTTACTTTGTACAAGGAAGAAAAAAACTCAATTTAAGGAAAATCAGTCAGTAAGATACCTTTTCTTCAAGATGCGGAAGTATCTAGGAAGAATGTGTTGAAAAAGTGAAAACGAGAGCTGAAAATACACTCTTCATTTTAAAATGATTCGCTTAAGCTATACATCAGCTATAAGATGTACATGTGGCTCATTTTCACTTATTATTAAGGAACTTAAGGTTCAAATATGTTTAAAGAGCTGGGTTAATATTATAAACTAAAGTGCTGCAACTCATAACATAAACTGTTAAACTTTGTTTATAAAAAGCATATTTTATTATGTAATTCTAAATTCTTTTTAAACACATAGAAGATTTTAAAAAGTATGGAATGGAAGCATGTTCATTTCCAGATTGTACATAATAATAGATACTTATTTCTTTAGCATTATATTTGTGATGTATGGGTGACACCAACCAACAAGATGTATAGAGGCGTATCTTGCATATGCACCTTGTTCTGAAGGCGCCAAATCTGAGGGCTGAAAATCTGAAGGCGCCAAAAGTTTAGTTTCCCAGCGGGAGACTGACAGAAAGGTCATAAGGAAAGCTCGCGGGAGCCATTAATGAAACCGATATTAGCTTGTATTACTTTATATACGAGGGCCATCCAGGAAGTAGATTACGTTTCCGTCTGTGTCCGCTAGGGGCGGGGCTAGCGCGGCCATCTTGGGGTCAGAGCGTTGCGCAGCTCAGTCTGCATCTAGCCGTGCTAGTGAGAGGTTCGTGCTGTGCTCCGTTCAGATACTGTGACGGTTTGAAATGTCTGCGTTAATTGAAAATCCCGCGAGCTGCGAGGTGCGCTCAGTAATAAGGTTTCTGACTGCAAAAAACTGTAAACCGATAGAAATCTATCGGCAGCTTCGTGAAGTGTATGGGGACAACATTATCACTGAAGGTGGAGTGCGTCAGTGGGTCATAAGATTTCAAAATGGCCGAATCAATGTTCACGACGAAGATCGAAGTGGGAGACCCAGCATAGTGACCGCCGAACTTCTCGAAAAAGTCGATGCTAAAGTCTGTGAAAATCGAAATTTCACAATAACGGAACTTTCTTTGAGTTTTCCACAAATTTCGCGAAGTTTGTTGCACGAAATCATCAGCGAAAACCTTGGTTACCACAAGTTTTGTGCAAGATGGAAGGCAAGAAGAGGTAACGAAGTGGTTGAAGGCGCAGGCGGCCGAATTTTTCGACGAAGGAATTTCCAAGCTCGTACATCGCTACGATAAATGCCTTAATTTGTATGGTGACTATGTAGAAAAGTAGTATTTGAGTGTGGCTTTCATCTGTATATAATAAAATTTGTTTCCTATACTTTGTTTATTTTTTTATTCCAAAACGTAATCTACTTTCTGGATAGCCCTCGTATTTCAGTTATTAGTATTGTAGTTTAGTACTATTTTTGTGTTTGTGCAATAAATGTTCAAAATACAAAAAGTGGATTTACTTTTCTATGAGGCGGAGGATGAAGAAAGGGGTGATATTACACACTCTCCCACTCAAACCAGAGCTTTAGATGACAGTAGAGAAACTTCAAGAGAAGCAGGTAGGAAGCTTTTGATTTTATTTTACTTAAAGTATAGATGTACTGAAGATATATATATATATATATATATATAATACATATAAATTAAAAATTTATAAGAATACTAAGAAAGAAGATTTAGTAAACCTTCTTGGTGAAATTGAAAATACACAAACTGTTGGTTTAGCAGTGGTCCAATTAAAAGGTAAAATTGAGGACAGTAAAATATTTAAAGATGATACCAGAATTTGTAATTGGATTATTAAACTCAATAGTTGAGGAAAGAAAAATTAGAGAAGAAAATGAAATAAAAGCTAGGGTACACAGTTAGCCCTAAAAGCTAAAAAAATTGAAAATGAAATAAAAGCTAGGGATGCACAGTTAGTCTTAGAAGCTCAAAAGATTGAATTTGAGAAACTAAAAATAAAGCGCTAGAGAAAGAATTAGAATTGGAAAAAGATAGAAGTCAGAACACAGCTAAAGATGGATCGAACACAGGTAAAGATGGATCTCGTGCAGATAAAGAATGATTACAGGTTCGAGAAATTATTGGAAAATTTGATAAAGAGTGTTAAAACATTAACTATTCCTATTCCAGGAAAATTGGAAAACTTCAATTTGTTTTCTCAAACATTAAAGAGAGCATTCGTAACTAAAAATGTACCACAGGAGCTCAAATCCGAAATTTTGATTAACATTTTAGGGGATAAGGCAACTAATATGTTATTTTACATTAATAATGAAGAACTAAAATGTTATGAACCCATTAAAAAACAAGTATTAAGAGAATATCAACCAACTGCTTATGAATTACCGAAGAGCACGACGTGATCCTAGAGAGTCACATGTTCAGTTCACTTCTAGACCGTCTGCAAACTTCCAGTATTACTGTCAATTATGCGAAGTTAATGATTTTGATACACTTTGTCAGCTAATGATTTTTGACAAACTTTTCCAAACGTTAGATAGAGAAATGGTAACTTACATTAATATTAAAACAGGAGAAAATTGGTTAAAACCTAAGGATTTAGCTAAAGAAGTTGACCTATATTTTGTAAACAAAGGCAAATCATTAAACGAAATCGCTTTTAACACTAACGAAAACATAGCTAAATCATCCCATTCTTCAAGAGAATCGAAATACATTCCGCCTCATATGAGAAACAACATAAATAAAAATAAATATCCACCCAAAAAACTGTTACATATGTGGAAAATTAACGCACCTCGTGAAAGC